CTGTCATCATCAGAACTTCTCTACCTCCACAATCTTAAATTTGAATATCTCATACTCTGACCACTACCTTCTGACCTTTCAGGACTCACATTTACCTGTTCCTCTTACATCTGCTTTCCATCATGGAAACCTCTAAATGCCAAACTTTACTAATCTCTGTAGCTCCCTCCTACCTTTGCCTCTTTTTGTACCTTCTTATATGCTCTCTTTAATTCACTCTCTGACAACAATCTCAATTTCTATACTCCAATATCCTTCTCTCTTTTTTTTTTGTTTGATTGTTTGTTTGTTTTGAGTTGGAGTCTCACTGTGTTGCCCAGGCTAAAGTGCAGTGGCATGCTCACAGCCACCGCAGCCTCAACTTGCTGGGCCCAAGCCTTCAAAGTGAAACTACAGGCGCAAGCCACCACACCTGGCTAATTTTTAAAAAAAATATATTATAGAGATGAGGTCTCGTCACCTCTGGTCTCAAACCTCTGGTCTCAGGCAATCCTCTCACCTCAGTCTCCCAAAGTGCTGGGATTACAGGATTGAGTCACCACACCCAGCCACCCAATATTCTTCTGTACAAACTACCTTGCAAAGTTCCCATCTTGAATGAATCAAACTATCAGCCTTTTCTTTTCTGAGTTGGAACCTCACTCTGTTGCCCAGGCTAGAGTACAGTGGCTCACAACCATCACAGCCTCGACCTGCTGGGACTAAGGTGATCCTTTCACCTCAGTCTTCCAAGTAGCTGGGACTATAAGCATGTGCCACCACGCCCATATTATTTTTTTATTTATTGTAGAGATGAGGTCTCACTATGTTGCCCAGGCTGGTCTCAAACCCATGGGCTCAGGCAATCCTCTCACCTCCACCTCCCAAAGTACTGGGATTACAGGTGTAAGCCACCATGCCCGGCTCAGCCTTTTCTTAACAGGGATGCTGAGAGCTACTAAGGAGAACCACACAACTGTAAAGATCAATACCACTGTTATAAACGCATAGTCTCCATCTTCAAGGCTACACAGAAATCTATTTCCTTACCTAGTTTGCCATCTCCTATCCTTCACAATAGCTATTTCAGACTTTGACTACTCTCCTCAAACCTCTAATTTTTCTGTCTAATTAACCATCTACCTCTACCCTACCTATCTCTGTTACTACTCTGCACAAATAATCTCTCATGCTTCAGGGGGAAAAAAAAAAACAGTAACAAGATTAGAACCATAACAATTTCCTTCTACTCAACCTATAAACCCACCTTAGCTGCATCTCACCCAATCCTCTCTCCCTATCATAATCAAAGAAGTATCCTGCTTAAGGTTGATCTTGTGTTCTGTGCTTGATATTCTAATTTCCCTGCCCTATAAAGCAGTGGTTCTCAAAGTGTGATCCCTGGGCCAGCAGCATTGGCACTCTCTCCAGAAACCTGCTGCAAATGCAAATTCTCTCATCCTACTCCAGTCCTGAGTCAAAAATTCTGGAATTGGGGACCAGTAATATGTTTTTCCTTTTTTTCATCTCCTCAGAGCAAGAAAGGAAGAGCAATCTGGGGTTTGGGGGGGAGTTTTTGAGTCAGAGTCTCACTGTCACACAGACGAGTACAATGGCATGCTCATAGCCACTGCAGCCTCAACCTGCTGGGCTTAGGTGATCCTTCCACTTCAGCCTTCCAAGTAGCTGGAACCACAGATGTGCGCCACCATGCCAGTCTAATTTTTTTTTTTTAATTTACTGCAGAGACGAGGTCTCACCAAGTTGCCTGGGCTGGTCTCAAACCCCTGGGTTCAGGCAATCCTCTCACCTCCGCCTCCACAGGTGTGAACCACCATGCCCAGTTGAGAAATCTGGTTTTATTTATTTATTTATTTTTGAGTTGGAGTCTCACTCTGTCGCCCAGACTAGAGTGCAGTGGCCGCTCCCAGCCACCGCAGCCTCGCCCCGCTGGGCTCCGGCGATCCTTCCACCTCAGCCTTCCAAGTAGCCGGGACTACAGGCACGCGCTACCATGCACGGCTGATTTTTTTATTTTACTATAGAGATGAGGTCTCGCCAAGTTGCCCAGGTGGGTCTCGAACCCACAGGATCAGGCAATCCACTGACCTCGGCCTTCCAAAGTGCTGGGATTACAGGCTGAGCCACCAAACCCGGCCTAGAACCACAGCTCTAAAGGATTTGTTGTTTATCCTCTTTGCTGTATTTATAACCTACCCTTCTTCCTTCCTTCCTTCTTTTTCTTTTATTTTCTTTCTTTCTCTTTTTATCTTTCTTTCTATTTTTGTTTGTTTGTTTGTTTGAGTCAGAGTCTCACTTTATTGTCCAGGCTGGAATGCAGCAGCACTATCACAGCCACCATAGTCTTGACCTGCTGAACTCAGATGATTCTTCTGTTTCAGCCTTCCAAGTAGATGGAACTACAGATATGCGCCACCACATCTAGTTAATTTTTTTCTTTAAATTTTATCATAGAGATGAGGTCTCGTCAAGTTGCTCTGGCTGGTCTCAAACCCCTGGGCTCACCTCTTGCCTCCACCTCCCAGAGTGCTGGGAATACAGGCATTGTGCCCAGCTCTCTTTGTTTTTAAATTTCTTTTCCCAGTGAAGCTATCCTTTAATAACCTCCTTCTTTAGTGCGATGGTTCTCTTGCTTCAAGAGACTACTTTATCAGGCATATACAGTTGACCCTTGAACAACACAGGTTTGAACTTCACAGGCCTACTTACATGTGAATTATCTTCCATTTCTCCTGTCTCTGAGACAGTAAAACCAGTACTCCCTCTTCCTCTTCCTCCTCCATCTATTCAACATGAAGATGATGAGGATGAAGACCTTTATGATCATCTACTTCCACTGAATGAATAGTAAATATATTTTCTCTTCCTTATTATTTTCTTAATAACATTTTCTTTTCTCTGGTTTACTTTATTATAAGAATATAGTATATAATACATATGACATTTAAATTTATCTAGTTTATTGCAAAAACATAGCATATAATACATATAACATATAAAATGTTTTAATCAACTGTTTATGTTATCAGTAAGGTTTCTGGTCAATAACAGACTATTGGCTAAGTTTTGGGAGTCAGAAGTTATATGCAAATTTCTAACTGGGAAGGATGTTGGTACCCCAAACTCTGCGTTGCTCAAGGGTCAACTGTACATTCTTGCCCTTTTCCAGTCTATTTACTACATAGCAACATATCTGTTATGTTATTCCCTCCTTAAAACTCTTTAATGATCTCCCATTGATCTTAAGATAAGGACCAATATCTTAAGAAAGGCTCATGGCACTGCACACCTCTCAGGTCTCTTCTTTTACCACCAACTCTCTTTTCTCTGCCCAACAAGACCAGTCTCTCTCAATTTCTTGATCCTGCCATGCTCTAAGGTACCTAACACACTTAGAAATTGTTATTTCCAGCCGGGCTTGGTGGCTCAGCCTATAATCCAGCACTTTGCGAGGCCAAGATGAGTGGCTTGTCTGAGCCCGCGGGTTGGAGATCAGCCTGGGTAACTTGGTGAGATTTCATCTCTACAATAAATAAAAAATTAGCCGGGCATAGTAGTGCGTGACTGTAGTTCCAGCTACTTGGAAGACTGAGGCGGAAGGATCACCAGAGCCCAGCAGGTCGACGCTGGGGTAGCTGTGAGTGTGCCACTGCACTCCAGCCTGGGCAACAGAGTGAGACGCCCACTCAAAAAAAAAAAGAAAGAAAAGAAAAAAGAAATTGTTATTTCCTCTACCTAAAATACTCTTAATCTGTTTCTTTTCCTACTCGTACTTCAAATCTCAGCTTAAACTTTCTTTCCTTAGAGTAACCTAATTTGACATCTTAGTCTCTACTACACCTGCCTGCTCAAGTGCCACTTCCTCTTTGTGTTCTTACTGTATTGTCTTACAAGTCTGTTAATGCAGTAATTATACACTATTGTAAAGACCTAGCTTCATGTCTCAATATCGACTAGACTGTAAACTCCTGAAGGTATGGACCATGTCTTGTTCAACTTTGTATCTCTAGTGGTTAGAACAGTACCTGACATTGATAATAGATTTCCATAAATGTTTATGGGCATATTAAACCTAAGACTGTTCTCTAATACTGCACTAAAAAGCTTTTTTCTTAACATTAAATCTGGGTTCCAATTCTAGCTGCAAGTTGTTTAACCTCTTTGGGTCTCAGTTTTCTCATGTGTAAAACAGAGCTAATACTACATACTTGGATATATTGCTATAAAAATTAAACAAAATAACAGTATAATGATTAACACACACAGTGCCTGGCATGTAGTAGCCCACTCTGGCTTCAACTTGATACAGACAACTAGGACAAAACAAATATAAAAATAAATCATAGAAATCAAGGGAGCCTGAGCATAGAGTGAGTCATTCTTTTTAATCATTTGCCCAGGAAGATCAACAGTGAAGAAACATAATAAGCAGAATAAACTCTATTGGTGGTATCTCCCTTGGCATACACAGCTTGGCGAGAATTCACTCCAGAGATCTCTTGGCTAATGGCCACATCCTACTCTCCAGCCCAGCAGGTCAGATCTTAATCTGCACTATCAGGCATGGTTAATTCAAACTGGAATAGAAACTACCTCATAAGGAATGTGTTTACAGGCAGGAGATGGAGGAGGAGAACTTGACTGCAACCACATCAATCAAATGTTTTGCAATCTGGCAGAAAACACTGCAGAGCTGTTGGTGGAGACTAACACCCACACAACTGCACTTACCTGTAGCCAAGAACCAGCTTAGACTAGATAATGAGCAGCTTTCTGCTTTTACCAAAATAATGGCCAGATCTGCATGGAGTGAACAATCTCTAAGGTCAAATTACCCTTGTGAATCTGGGTAGCACCAATTAGGATGATACCAAGCAACTTTATACATACACTGCTCAGCCTATGAGCACTGCCCACAAGCATCAGCTTCACTGCTCATGTGTGCCACATATAAGAACAGATTTAACAGTTTCTGTGCTCCTTATTCATAATATCCTTACCTCTGCAGAGCCACTGGTAGCCAGATCACCTGGTTCCTTGGAGTCATTCACTTTAGAATGCTGTGTCACTATAGGTGTAACTTCTTTATCACTGGGACTCTCTCTCTTCTGAAGTTTCCTGATTAAGTTCTGCTGGTCACTGGAAGATACAGCAGGTCTGAGCGGAGTTCTGGGGAGGCTTTGCTTCCTCCGAAATGCCCTGCTCCAACCTAGCCCCAGAAGATGTGGCACATCATCTTCAGGTAGAAAACCCAAATCATCTGCAGTTTGAAATTTTTTTAAAAACACCAGCATGGAATTGGAAGAGTCTGTCCTAAATGCCCGGCAGCTCTGGGGACTGCTGCAGTTGGCCTGAATGCACATCCCTTCTAGCCACCAAAAGGCATGGCAGGCAGAGTCCTGGCAGCAGGCAGCCCAACATGTCTGGATAGAGGGGGTTCCTTCAAGAAGCTGGAGGTGATTTTCTCCCCCAGATCTCAGGCCGACTCCAAACTGTGTCTTCTCCTGCTGGCACCTGCTCTCACTGGCATCTGAAAATAAAGAATGAAAACATTTTCAGATGATATAAAAACAAAGACTACTGCTCTGTAAAGATCCCTGAGCACTAACATTTGAGGCTATTTTGATGACAGATTTTTAGGAGGGTGAGAAAGCCATCTAGTGAGTGGAAGAGAGGAAGCAAGAGTGTTTTTTGGCTCAGGATATTTTTAGGTTACAGAAATACTGCTCCACATTCATCAATGGTTTCCCTTTTCAATGACTTCCTGCCATGTAGACCTTTTACACTGAATTCCAGTTCATTAAATACATGCACACACACAAAAACAAACAAAGAGGAAGTATATGCAGGAAATGGGGAGGGTGGATGGTGCAAAGTCTCAACACCTCATCTCCCAATCACCTCCAAGGTGTTTCTTGGGGACAGTGTGAGGACTGTGGGACCAGAAGAACAGGGAGCTGAACAAGCTGGAATATTTCCCCTACTAAGCTGGCAGCAATACAGACTCATGCAGATTACAATCTAACCTCATGCAGATTACAGGTACATCCATTTTTCTAACCAATTGTTTGCCAAAGCCAAGTGATTTTGTGTAACATAGTATCAGTAGTCAAGATTACCAAAAATTTTAATCATGTGAGGAATTCTGCTAGAAGAAACTTCCTAATGACAAGCCATGCCATGATAGGAAATAGTGGAACAGAAGTACAACGGTGATCTACTGTGGGCAACCCAAATAACATGGTCCAAAATTCTGGCTAATGTGGCTTATGGATAAACCTTGGGCAGTTGAACTATTTCAGGCATGGCATTGATTTTTCTGAAATATTACTTCACCTCTGTTTTCTTAGATGAAGTCAAAACATGTTCTAAATCAAATAAGTACACTTACAAGTTCATATTAAGGACTTAGTTACACAGGTGTCTATTACTAGCGGTGGTCAGTGTTATTTAGGAACAGAACAAAAGTGAGGCAAGAAAGGTGCCTTAGGCACAAAATTTAAGGAGGCGCTCACTCTCAGAGTCATTCAAGTGAAGAGCTAGACTTGAAAGTGAGTGCCTCTTTACATTCTGTGCTCTGGGTACCTCTCTTTCCTCACCCTAGTCCTGGCCCTGGGATTATAACATGTAATATATGTTAGAATTATATAGAGAAAGCATGCAATAGAATCAAAGCATTGAAGAAATGGATAATCATGTCTGCATGCATACATAACTAAAGGGCTCTGAAGGCCAGGCACAGTGGCTCACACCTATAATCCTAGCACTTTGGGAGGCCGAGGTGAGAAGACTGCCTGAGCCCACGGGTTCAAGACCAGCCTGGACAACTTGGTGAGACTCCATCTCTACAAGAGTCAAAAATTAGCCAGGCGTGGTAGCGTGTGCCTGTAGTTCCAGCTACTTGGAAGGCTGAGGCAGAAGGATCACCTGAGCCCAGCAGATAGAGGTTGCAGTGGCCAGGAACGTGCCACTGCCCTCCAGCCTAGGTGACAGAGTGAGACTTGTACTCAAAAAATAAAAATAAAAATAAATAAAGGGCTCTGAGTAACTAAAGCAACAACCTGATAATCAGCCAAAGCCAATCTGACTCCTACCAAATACTTAGTAAATGTCCAAATGGCTGAGTGCAGCGGCTCATGCCTGTAATTCCAGCACTTTGGAGGGCCAAGGTGAGAGAGTCGCTTGAGGCCAGTATTCAAGACCAGCCTGAACAACATAATGAGATCCTGTCTCTATAAATATATATTTTTTAATTAGCCATATGTGGTGGTGTACACCTATAGTCCCAGCTGTTGAGGAGGCTGAGGCTGCGGGATTGCCTCAGTCCAGGAGGTCAAGGCTGCAGTGAGCTATGATCATGCCACTACACTCCAGCCGGGGCAAGCAAAGTGAGATCCTGTCTTAAAAAAAAGTTCAACAGACTAAATGTGGACACTAATCAACTGGAAGACAAAAGGAATATAAAGGTAGGCTTCTGAACTACTGAGTTAAGAGCACTATGAAAGTCAGCACTGGCACCAGCCTAACACAAGACAAGGCAGTGTAGAAGGCCAGATAAAACAGAACTTCTTTGAGAAACATGAAAAAATAGCAACTATGAAAAAAATGAAACTACCAAGAGCTATAGAAATACTCCTCATTTTCTCATCCATCTTCCCACACAGTCACCAATAGTAAGAATCTTGGTAATAGCTGAGTATACAGACTTTGTTGAAATCAGTAAGTTGTTACTTCAATAACTACTATCAGTTATCTTTGTATCAACTTTCCCTTATCCGTCTCATAACAGTTGCTCATATTTAACATAGTAAAGAGATTAACATACATGAAAATAACTCGCACTTTTCTGTAAGCCACTTTTATTTAAAAGATTTTTAATGCACTATGACTTTTATTTCTGCCCTTGAAGGAGGAATTGTTATAGAACTTGCCCTCCCACCATGAGAAACTAAAAAACTAGACACAATATATAAAGCAACTGTTTTAGAAACTGGAGAACAGGCAGTGCAGGACTGTGATCCTAGCAAGAATAGAAACAAACCAGGTGAGCCCTATGATCACCCTGGCTTTCTGCAGGAGGCATGCTCGAGATTGGCACAGGAAAGAAGTCAAGCAGAACAGGGCAGGCAGTGATTGAGGAGTTCAGGGTGACTGTGATAGCTAGAATTTTTTTTTTTTTTTTTTTTTTT